CGCAGGCCCGCACCTGATGAGAAATCATTTCGCTTCTGCTCCGTTCTCAGCAGCAAATCCAGCCGTTAGTGCGGGCTTCCGAGGCTGGCAGCAGTCGGCACTGTGATGGGTGAGCCTTTCCGGCGTCTCCAGGGCAAGCCCCGCGGGCCCCACCGAGGCTGCGCCCACTGTCCCGCGGCCTCCTTGGCGTTGCATGGCACGAACAAGAGCGAGCCTTCATCGTAGCCGGCCCACACAACCGTGTCCCTTCCCACCATCTGCTCTCTATTTGCCCGGCACCATACCCAGCGTCTCGCATTTCCCCCAGGTCAACGCACTCTCTCATCCGTGCGTTTAACGGGACTTTGTTTGGATCAGTGGTGCTCACGTTGGGGTGTGCATCAGCGTCACGGGAGCCCGTTAAAGCGCAGAGGGCCCCTCTCAGAGTGTCTGACTCAGTGAGTCAGGGGTGAGGCCCGAGAATTTGCATCCGAAGTTCCCAGCGCTGCTGCCCGGGTCAGGCAGCCGCGTGGAGACCCTGGCTTAGGTCCCTACTCTCCTTAGATCCTTCGCCGTGAAAATGGTGTGTCAGGGACGGTCTCTGAAGGGAGCTGATTTGCCCAAATGGTTCGAACGAAGGCACTGTAGTGACAGGACTCACAGAGGCGGGCAGGGCTCAGAGATGAGGCCCCCAAGGCTGGACAGAGGGGAGCCGCCACAGCCTTGGGCAGGAAGGAGCACAGGGCAGGACAGTGTTCCAGGGCCTGGAGCTGTGGACCTCGGGGCGGAGGTCCTGGCAGGAGGAGGAGCCACTTGCAGAGAAGTGGCTCAAGACCACTCGGGAGCTGGGAGCCGTGGGGTGCGGTAGGGGGTGGGGAGGGAGGATCATCAGCTCAGAAAGTAACTGTCAGATGTTCTCCAAATCTGCAGTCTGCCTAGAAACTGCTGAGGCTTCTGAGCTCTCTCCTTGTTTTAAACAATTAACAAGTGTGGGAAAGGTGTTAAGGACACATTCGCATCAAATAGAGACTCTTGATTGAGGTGTTAATAATTTAAAAATTCACTCTTTGATTCAGACAATTTAACGCTGTGGTTTAACACACTTAACACCATGTAGATAGCACCTCTCTCCCAGTGTTGCCCATGGGGTAGTACTCTCCTGATCGCCAGGCATTGGAGGGGGGTGATGGGCAGTGGTGCCCAGCCTGCTGCAAAGGTGGGTGGAGGTGGGGGTGGGCTCAGGAGGCTGGCAAGCCCTCAGGTATTGGCAGGTATTGGCAGGTGGCAATGTGCTTGGTGAAGCGCTGTGGCCAGGGGTGGGGGACCCCATGGTGTCACTGCCCCTCCCTGGATTATTGATGCTCCGTGGACCCCCACCTCCCTCTCTTTTTGCTCCACATGCTTTTCACAGGCATCTCATCCTCTCCCACACCTCCAACTCCCTCCCAGTGGACGGTCCCAGCAAGTACGCGAAGAGTGCCTGTGCCCCATGTCCGTCTGAGTGCCACCCCCACTCGGTGGCCATCCTCTTGCAGGGATCCTGGGCTGGGTGTTGTCTGGGATGCTGAGAGCAGACAGATGAGAGCCGTGGCTGGGGAACGCTTCGCCCCACCCCGACGGGCCCCCGCGGCCAGCCCAGGCTTGGAGAATGGTGATTACAAAGTGGCCACTCCATCCTGCCAGCTCAGCTCTCTACCTGTGATGGCTCCTGGACCCAGAGAGGCCTGGGTTCGAATCCATTCTGTACCACTATCTTGCTGTGCAGACCAGTTGCTTAATCCCTCTGGATCTAAGTTTGTTCATCTTAAAATGGGTGCTACCTCGCGACCTTGCAAGGTTGTTGGGAGGATTGGGGCGATAATGCCTGTGAATGTTAGTGTCTCAGGTCTGCTTCCCCGGAAGTAGACCCTAAGGTGAGGATTCAGGCAGGTCTTTCATAAGGAAAATGACCCAGGAGAGTGTAAGGCAATTGGGAAGCAGGACAGGGAAGGGAGGGAGGCAAGTAAGGGGACAGTGTCAGCAGGGCCAGGGAGGCAGCTGTAGCCTTGCCCCCTGGGGGGGAGGGGGTCTGCAGTCTGGGTCACATCCCAGGGTTGTCACAGCCAGAGGCACAGGTAGAGCCGCGGGTTGGCTTCTGGAGGGCGGCGGCGGCTGGAGGGAAATGTAAGTTTGCAGAGACTTTCTGAATGAAGGTGGACACAGACTCCAGTTGCCCAAGGACCATCCTCCCAGAGAGAAACACGGACGAGAGGTGCGGGCGGGCGGGTGGAGCACATGGTCCAGGGTGACTTGGCAATGATGACGCCGAGTCATGGGGGCCCTTTTTGTGACTCTTGTTGCTATCAGCATAGGAACAACAGCAATGCTTATTGTTACGAGTGTTCTTGGTCTGGGTGGACGGAAGCTCTCAGACAGATGCTCTGAGCCCAGCGGGCAAACAAGGAAACGAATCTGGCGGAATAAGAAGCGTAACCCCAGCCAGATACTTCCCGAGCTCCCCATCCCCCCACCTTCCCATCGCCCACCCCGTCTGAAAGAGCAGAGCAGGGCCCTGCTGTGCGTGGGGAGGCCTGGCCCAGGGCCCACTTGGGCAGATGAGAGCACCGCCTGGGGCGTGGGGCGGTGCAGGGGAGGCGGCTGAGTCAGGGAGCGGCCACGGTGAGGGGCAGCCTCCGCCCACTGCAGGACAGCAGCTGCTGGAGGTGAAGGCTGCTGGGAGGGAGACAGCCCAGCTCGCCCTACATCTGCCTCCCTCCCTGCTGCCTGGCGGGCCTTGGGCCAGCTATGGGCCTGGAGGCTGCAGTGTGCGGTGCCAGGGGGTGTTTTAACAACATCCCGGCTGCCAAGTGCACATTATTCTCTTACAGAAATCCAGGGATGCCCAGGAGATGTGATGTTTTTATAGCAACAACAAAAAAGAGGGGAAAAAGAAGAAGTTCTTCAAAGCTCTCAGAGCCCCGCTGTGCTGGGGGTGGTAGTTGGTGTTTGAGAACCGGCCTTCTTCCTCGGGGAGCAGATAGGGACGCTGCAATTGCTGTTTGCTGGCTCCACATATGTTGGCTGTCCCTAGGATATTCCAGGTGAAGGAACAACTAGTGCAAAAGGCGCAGAGATGGGGGGGTGGGGGGGAACCACATTTGAAAGTGCTAGAGAACAGAAAAGCTGAAGATCAGGACTCTTAGTTGTAAGTGACAGAATTCTACCTCAAATTGAAAGAACAGATGACTGACAGCTTCAGGCATGGCTGGATCTAGGGGCTCAAACAATGTTATAGAACATAATCTTCCTTCATCTCTTAGCTCTAACTTCTTCGACATCTGCCAATTGGTGGCCTGGTCAATTCTAAGCTTACATCTTCCCAGCCTCAAAACCAGTGGAGGAAAGCAGTTTCTTCCCCAGTGGTTCCAGCGGAAGTTTTGTTGAACTGACTTGAGTCATGTGTCCAGCTCTGGCTGGGCAAGCCTGGCCCATCGTCCTTTCTCTGAAGTATGCGTCTTGCTCACACCGTGTGCTTAGTGTGGTTTGGAAGGCAAGTGACACCGATGTGTTCCATCTTCTACTTTCTACCCTTTTCCTCAGAATCTTATCTGCTCCCACAGTTTTATTTCTCCTTCTTGACCTTGTCTGTAGCCTTGACCTCATTCAAGAGCCCCAGTCCCCACTGTGCTCCGCCCACACAGCTGCAATAGCACACACGCAGCCAGCTCTCAGTGTGTGCTACGCGTGAGCTCGTTACACTGCTGTGCGATTGAATCCTCACAGCACAGCAATGCTATGAGTAGGTGCTATTATTATCCTCATGTTATAGGTGAAAAAACTGCGGCATAGAGAGGACCATTCCTGAACCAATGACTAGGGGCCAGATCTGATCCGTGTGCCCAAACACGGAGCCCAGATGTGGGTCAGCTGCAACTGAACTGCATAGGCAGAGAGGGGGAAGGGACTCCCCAGTTGAAAAGCATGTGGGAAGAAGGGGGCATGTGGGGCGGGAGAAACAGAAGATGCCCCTAAACTAAGAGGCAGATGATGGGAACTCAGTTTGGACCAATTTAGGGGAAGAGAGCTGTGCTGCCTCAGGGACTGCCCCGTAGCTCTGAACAGCAAACCACCGGAAGGACAGGAGTGCGTCTGCCTTCAGGACCGGCGGGAACCAGGCGCTCACGCTGTCAGAGCCTTTCCTCTTGTCTACTTCAGTGTTTCTAGGCACCGTAGCTCTGAACAACCAAACCACTGGAAGGACAGGAGTGCAGAGCCTTTCCTCTTGTCTACTTCAGTGTTTCTAGGCTCAGTTCCTAGAGAAGGGCTTTGATTGGCCAACTCTTGGTCATGTGATCGCATTGGGCCAATCAGCTGTGCCCAGAAAGGGGGAACCACAACAGACCCTGGCAGCTCCCAGGGAGAACAGTGAGGTTGGTGCTGCGGGAGCAGCAGTGGTGGTTTAGAGAAAACAGTGGAGGAGGGTGCAGGGCAGATGAAAATGAAGGCGCCCCTCGAGGGCAGGCGCGATGTGTGCATGCGTTGGGATGCTCATAGCTGCAGATAAGAGAACGTCACACTGACCGGCTGAACCACAGGGAAGCCCCAGGGCTGGTGGCTGCCGGTCCAGGGAGGTCACCTTTCTGTCGCTCTGCTCAGTGACACAGTGTCAGCTTCATCCCGCCCCGCCTGGCCGAGGATGGCTCCCGCGGCCGTCATCCCACAGGTGGGCAGAGGACGAGAGGCTCGGGCATTGCCACAGGATTGAAGCTCCCCCCTTCCCTCTGAATGGGCCCCCTTATTGGTCACATGCCACCTGCACAAGTACCGCCACCCAGAGTGCCACGGGCCGACCGGCGTGGGCTCGGATTCCTGAGCCAGTCTGCGAGGAGGATGTGTGGCCATGGCGGTCTTACCCCAGGCAGGACAGCCTCCAGCTGAGGTCTGTTCCAAACGGCCCGATGCCCTGACCGAGGGCGCGGGTGGGTGGACATGCAGTGGCCGCCCTGCCTCCCTCCTCTGACGGCCTCTGCTCTGTCGCGCAGGGGTCCTGTGGCTGTCGGTGGTCTCCGAGGTGCTCTACATCCTCCTGCTGGTGGTCGGCTTCAGCCTCATGTGTCTCGAGCTCTTCCACTCCAGCAGCGTCATAGACGGGCTCAAGCTCAATGCCTTCGCGGCCGTGTTCACGGTGCTCTCAGGTAAGGCGCGGCCCAGGCGGGAGCAAGGGCACCGCCCTGTGCTCGG